TATCTCTCTGCAGTATATCAGTTTTTGTGTCATGTACTTTGAAACTTTGTTATTAGGTACACACACATTTGTTCATGTCATCCTGATAAATCAGTCCTAATGTTTTAAAAATATCTTCTTTTCCTTTAAAGTCTTTTTTTGTGTGATAGTAATACAGCCAACTTAGCTTTATCATAATTGGCGCTGACATATAATTCTTTTTTTAAAAGACTAAACAAGACAGAAAATAGGTAGAAATAATATATATGTTCAGAGAAAAAAATAAACACTAAGAAATCACTAGTTGGTGTTTACATATTGTTGTTTTACAAATAGTTGTTTAAGGTAAAAGAATGGAACATGTAAAGTGGGAATTCAAACAGCAAGACTGCAAACAGTTCTGTCCAACTATCCAACAAACACTTAGTAACATGGTTGTCAATCCTATACACTTAAACATACATGCAGTTATCCATATCTTCATTTATGTTTAAACAAACTAAAGCAGGTTAAAATCATTCTGAACAAAGAATAATAGTATTGCTGGATTTTACATCATGACACTCCATGATCAGCAATGGGTACTATAGTGTCTTTTTTAAAAATTTAATTTAAAGAAAGACTAAATAAAACAGAAAATGGGTAGAAATAACATAACTTCAAAGAAAAAAATAAACAGTAAGAAACCACTAGTTGATGATTATAGATTGTCTTCTTCCAAATAGTTATTCAAGATACAAAAGTGGAGCTTATAGAGTGGGGATTCAAACAGTGAGATTGCACCCAGTTCTGTAACAAAAACTTAGAATTATGGTTATCAATCCTATACACTTAAACATACATGCAGTTATCCATATCTTCAATTATGTTGACATTGAATAGACCCAACTAGGCTAATATCACTCTGAACAAAGAATAATACTATTGCTGGGTTTCACATTATGGCACTCCAGGATCAGCACTGGGTACTTTAGTGTTTCTTTTTCTTCAAAGTATCTGTTCATTTTATCATGTGTCATAAGATCTGTTCTCATAAACTGTTTACATATTCTACACATGCATGAGTCTTAACATGTATTTCTATCCTTTCTATATTAGAGGGAGAAACAAAACAAAGCAAGACAAAACAAAACATATTCCTATAAGCACATGAAACAAATAAACATATAAGACCGTTGTACAAATCATTCTACCATGGTTCCTGTGTTGTTTCTTGTTACCTACAATGGAATTGGCTATATAATCAAACATAGTATAATTAAATATATCAGTACATAACAGTATTTATAAAAACACAACTTTGTATATAGTATAGAACTTCAAAAACTGGCAGTTAGCAAACCAGAATGTGTATTGTAGAGTCTTGTCATCTTCAGTGTAGTTGCCTATATTCTCAGACTTTATACTGTCAATCATATCAGTTTTGAATAAAATACTCTCTGCCTCATTTCTGTTATGCTCTTTTTTTGCCATCAGTTGTCTGCTTGCCTTCTTCATTCTGTTTTCTGCTCCATTCATTGAGGCCTCTCTGCCACTGTTCCTGGAATACTAGTAGTTTTCTCTCTCTCTAGAATGCCCTGCAGTATTCTCTGTAGAGTTGGATTGGTGGTTGCAATTTTACCAAGTTCATCTTCATCTTAGAAGCATTTTGTTTCTCCATTAATTTCTAGAGACAGTTTATCAGGGTGTATCAATCTGGAATGGAGGTTATTTTCTTTCAGGGCTTGGAATATTTTGCTCCAGGCCCTTCTTGACTTGATGGTTTGTGTCGAGAAGTCTCCCATTATTCTGATGGGCCTTCCTTTATAGGTTATCTGTTTCTTGTCTCTAACAGCTTTTAATATTCTCTTCTTATATTGAATTTCTGGGATCTTGGTTATTATATGCCTGGGAATAGCTCTGTTTTGGTTGTAGGTGGCTGGAGCTCTGTATGCCTCATATATCAGAATGTAATTTCCTTTTCCTATGTTTGGGGAGTTTTCCTTAACTATTTCTGTGAATAACCTTTGTATCCCAGCTTCTTCATTTATATTCTTTATTCTCAAGTTATAGATCCTTTTGTCATCTTCTAGCCTTTGTATCATTACTGCTTGTTTCCTTGTTATTTTTAAAAAGTTTTCCCTTTCATACTACCACATTGTAATATTTTCCTTCACTTTGGATAATCTATCCTTAGTTTCTTTCAAGCTGATTTGCTATCTTTCCATAATTTTTAGTTTCCTGGTGATCTCTTTGAATCTGCTTCATGTATTCTATTTTTTTATATTCTTCACCAAATGGTTCTCTCCTTTGTTTCAGTTCTTCCCTTCTTCCATCTGTGTCTGCTTGAGGGATGATTAGTATCTCTTTATCTTTTTATATCTTGCTTTATTTGGCTAAATATTTCACTTTTGAACTTGTCTATGAGATCCCGAATATATCTCTTTATGTCCACTGGTCCTGTGTCTGATATTGCATGTTTGCTGTTCTCATTCTCCTTTGTATTTACCCGTCCTGGGTCAATGTTCTCAGGGTTGGGACCTGGGGACTTTTTGTTGTTTCCTCTTTCCATCTTTTTTGCTTCAGGAGGCCCCAGTTTCTTTCTTTGTTGGTTACCATTCTTCTGAAGTCTGCTGGCTAGATGACCCTTCCCACTGCAGTGTGCTAGTGAGTTGCAGACAGGGACAGCATATGCTGGCCCCTCCCCCTTGTATCAGTCAAGCTACTGAGGCCTGCACTACTGTATTACTTTGCACTGCTCCCCTCCAGACCAGCCAAACCTCCGAGGCTGCACTGGGCCAGTGTGGTTAGTATGTACCACTGCTGCAGGGACTTTACCTCAGATAACCTATTGGGTCTCAGTTGGGTCACGTGACCCATGCCTAGCATACTCCACCAATCTCATTTAGGAAGGGAACAACTGTCTGAAGTCACTGCTGCCCCTTGTACTTGCCAGTCCTGCCCAGCCCCAGAATGTCATTTGCCAGAGTCCCCCTATTTATGGAATGGCTCCATTCCTGTCACTCACCACAGGTTGATGTAGGCACCCTGCCAACTCAGCCCTCCTTTTGGCTTGCTGATCCCCAAACTCAGTGTGTCTGCACCATCAGTGAGTTGAAGTGGCAAGACCTCAGATGGCTCAGCAAGTCACTGGAGGACCCTGGCCAGTCACGGCGGGACCTTGTGTGGTCGGCAAGTTGCCTTAATTTCTTCTTGGGATGAGAGAATTCATCTCCCTCTGTTTGGGGCTACCCACTCTGTATAATGTTGAATTCTAAGTTGACTATCTCAGAGAGCCTCTGTAGCCAGTTGTTATCTATCTGCCATCTTTGCTTCTCCCCCGACATATAATTCTTTTTTAAAAATCCCGTTACTTTTATGTGTCTTTAAATTTCATTTTTGTAGAAAGCCAATAGCTTGGGTCTTATTTACAATGCTTTTAAATTGCAGCAAATAAAACATTATGCTTAATGTAAATATTTACAGGGTTAGCCATAAGTCTAGCACCTTATTTGTTTGGTCTCCATTGTTGTTTTTCTTTTTTCTTACTTTCCTGGGCTAATGCATTATTTTTTAATATTTCATATTTTCTCTTTTATGGACTTACTAGCTAAAGTTCCATGGTTTCTTTAACAGTCATTCTAGGGTTTATATGCATTTTTAACGAGTGGTACTTCACATACAATACACATACTGTTTAACTATATTACCATATTGTCCTTCCAATCCTTATTATCATAACATTGTCATAGTTTTAATTCTATATGCTATAAGCTTCACATTATATTGTTTTCCACAGTTAATTATCCTTTACAGAAAAAAAGATCTTTTATAAACAGCCAGCATATTTTCTAAAAGTATGATCAATATTTTTGTTTTCTTGTTAATTTCTAAACTTATCTGGTAAGCCAATATGTGTCTTTTATATTTGGTCACTGTCTATTATAGCACTTAAGTTGGATTTCATTTATTTACAACCTTACAGTGCATTAGATAGTTCTATGAGGGCCGATTCAGTGGTATTCTTTTCTCTCTAGAATTTAGCAAAGTATCTGATATAAACATGTAAGTCTGAAATAACAAAATATACTCACTAGTATTATTATTTGTCTTTTTCCTTTTTATCAGTGCCAGGGATCGAAATCACGACTGCCTGCTTGCAAGACAGGTGCTTATGCTGCTGAGCTAAATCCCCAGCCCCCACTAGTATTATTTTTGAGAAGCAAACTTTACGGTCTAAAATTTGAGATTTTACAAGAAAAAAACTGGGCCTGCCATTATGATGTGCCATGAATTTTCAATGCAAGAGACAAAAGAGAGAGACAGATAGTGAGACAGAACGAGGGGGAGCAAGAGCAAGTTTCAGAGTAATAGAATTTTCTACAAAAATTATCAAGTCCAGTTTCTCAGGGCCACAACTTTAGAAGCTCTAAAGGCCCACAAAGGAGATAGAAGGAGCTTAAGAGAGGATGGGAGGGCAGAAGTGTGTGTTATTCTACGAAAACAAGATTTAGGGTAGATGATATGGTCAGTAGTGTTTCAAGACGGCTCCTTAAATGAAGGCTTAAGTGTCTTCAGACTTTGTTACGTGGACGTTCACTATGGTAGGTGGTGGTGGTCATTAAATGAGACTGTAATCTTGTTAGGACGTGAGAAGTATGGAAGATGAAATCAGTTCTTGGGGGTTAACCCTAGCAGGGGACAGAAACAGGGCTCTTCAGATCTCTCCCGAAAGATTCCCGGGCTGCAGATCCCTAAGGTCAAGTCCTTCCTGGGATAAGAGGTGACCACAGAGCACCTGACGCTCCAGGCCTCTTCAAGCACTGAGGCTGTGCCAGTAGATTTTAGACGCCCCGAGAGCTCACCTGACGCCATCCTGGCAGCCGACTGGGGCAGGTGATCCCCTTCCCCAAACTTCCCTTGCCAGGCGCAGGAAAGCCCCTGCGACAGTCCTGGGCACCGGAAGCCAGGACCCCTGTGGCCTCGGGCTCAGCTTCCGGGTCAGGACGAATCTCCCAAGGTTCCGCGCGGCGGACGGTCCTCGCAGCTATGCAGGAAGAGCGCCTGCGCGGGTTCTCAGGCCCGCCGCGCCCCCAGGCGGTTGCGGTAGCCCTCAGCGCCCTCCGCAGTCCCTTTGCCCAACGCATCTCGGCTGGAGGAGCCGGCGACAGACCAGGTCGTTGAGTGGTTCCCGCAGGCCCTGAACCAGCCATGCTGCGCTGGCTGAGGGGCTTCGTGCTGCCCCAGGCGGTCTGCCAGAGTGACGATGACTACCTCCGGTACCAGATCCTCTTTGAAGACTTGGACCACAATGGAGATGGCGTGCTGGACATCCAGGAGCTCCAGGAGGGGCTGAAAAACTGGAACTCCTCCTTTGACATCAATTCAGAGAGGGTGAGCGACTAAGCAAATGCGGGGCATCGGGAGTCTGGAGAGACGTTGGACGGTCACACGTTGCAGAGCTGCTTCCAGAGCTGCTTCCAAAGCGGGCAATAACGCAGCCTAGAGAAACTTCGCAGCAGGCTGACCAAAGCCTTCTGGGCTTTAGGGGAGATGTTGAATGAGTTCCTGGTGACTCTTTCAACATTTACCAACCAGCATACACTGTCAGGAGCTGTTAGCCTTTGGGATGCGAAGTAAAGCGGTAAAGCTGTCTCTTTGCTTAGAGGGTAACAGCCTACGCGGTGGTGGTGGACCTATGGCACGTGTGTTACTGTGTTTTTCTTTTAAGACACAAGAAGTCAATGTAGAGTTCTTTCCTAAGCTAAAACCTCAGTACTCAGGTTTAATGGCAGTGTTGGGTCTTCGTGATACATAAGTGAGTTTGGTTGCAGTTTGGCACATTATATACATGAAATATTTGTCCTTTTGTGCCTGACTTATTTCACTTACATAATGGCCTTAGGTTTCATCTGTGCTGTAACGTGTCAAAATTTCTTTTATTTTTAAGGCCACATAATATTCTACTGTATGTATGCATATGCTATATTTTGTATATTCATTCATTTGTTGATAGATACTTGGATTACTTCTGTGTTTTATTTATTGTGAATAACACTTTGTGAACATGGGTGTATAAATATCTCTTTGAGATCCTGCTTTTTACTTTTTTCAGGTGTATTCCCAGAAATGGAAGCTGGCTCATATGGTAATTCTGCATTTAAAAACTTGAGGAATTGCCAAATGATTTTCCGTAGAAGCTGTATCACCTATTCTCCTCAATGGGACAAATGTGTTCCAACTTTTTAATCATTTATGATGCTTGTTACTTTGTGTTTTGTTTTTAAACATGGGTAGATGTGTCTTTCTGTGTTGTCCAAGCTTCCCTCAAATTCATCATCCTACTGCCTTAGTCTCTAGAGTAGCTGGGCATGTACTACCTTGCCCAGTTATGTGGCATGTGGTGTGTTTAAATAGTAGCCACCTAGGTGGTATTTCATTTTAGTTCTGATGTGCATCAGTGATGCTCAGCATCTTTTCTTGTGCTTACTAGTTATATACCCTCTTTAGAGAAATGTCTGTGCAAGACCTTTGACTGTTTTTGAATTAAGTTACTTGTTTTTGTAACTGACTTTAGGTAATAATATATACATAGAATAGAATAGATTTAAATTTTTGTGAGGCCCAATTAAAATCTTAACAATATAAATTCTTCTAATCCATGAATCTGGGATATCTTTATGTTCTTAATTTCTTTCAGAAGTGTTAGAGTTTTCATTGCACAAATAACTTTTTCATCTCATTGGTTAATTTCTGAGGATTTACAGTGATTTCTGAGGGTTGTTTTCTCTTTGGCCATTCTGTAGCCATTTTGATTTTTTTGATATTTTACCAATATTTAAGCTGATACTATAACCTGGCTATTGTGAATAATGATTCAGTAAACATGGGGATGTAGATGTCTCTTTAATATCTCTGTGCATGCTAGAAGTCTAAGGTGTCAGTTTGCCTCCAGATTGGTAGTAGGTGTAGAGAGCCTACTACCAATGAGAACATGGTACCAATGTGAGTTTTCACTCTTGTGTAACTCAGGCTGAACCTGGTCTCTGACCACAGGAATTGGGTCTGTGTAGATATTATCCCTAATGGCAAAAAGTATGCATCTTTTTATCATTTTTCCCTTGAAGTACTTGGCATTCATCATTTACCTCAGGAAAGTGCTTACTGATAAGATTCACAAGTACTTGGAATTATATGGTGGTTGTTGACTTTACTATTGCATAAATTAAAAATAACTTAATATACTTAGCCTTGTAGCCATGACTGAAGCACTAACTAATAGATACTTATAGCAATCATAATTAAATATAAGTGAAGTGTGCAAATGTTAGCATGGTGTAGTGGATTTACTTGTGATGTGCTTCTGCAATGAGTTTCTTCTCTTTTGTAGACGATTCTTAGTGCTGGAGATACCAATGCTGACTCAGGGTTGGACTTTCAAGAATTTATGCAGTATCTTCAAGACCATGAGAAAAAAATGAAGCTGGCATTCAGTAGTCTGGATAGAAATAAGGATGGTGTGTATGTCCCATTAACAGTTGACTTAATGTGAATAAGAGTCAGTACTAAAGGGTAATTTTGCTAGCCTTTACTTCTTCTATCAAAGACTTGCCTATTTCTACTAAGTCTGTAATTTTTAAATTCCTGAGAAAAGTTGCATTTATTATTAGTATACTTCCCATACAATTTCTATTTTAATAAAAATGATTTTGTGGAAGTTTGTGTCTTCTGACTTGAAAGCTTTTCAGCTTAATGAATTGGCTTTCTGCACTTTTGCAGTACATGAGCTGAAAGTATCGTGGTAATTTGAAAAACATGGCATTTATCATTTTCTTGTTGATTATGAAAAGGTATTGGTTGCAAGAAAATGAGATAATACAAGCAAGTTCCTGAAAGAAAATAAAAATTACATACAGCCCTGCTATTTAGTCATCAGCTTTAACACTTTAATGATTTATTTTGATGTGTTTGATATGTTCCTTACAAACCTTTGTTCCCACAATGGCTGCCACTGTCTTCTTGAACTGCAGAGCTCAGGCTCAAGCAGCCCTCCAGAGCCACTGCTTTCAGTGAGCTGCCAGCTTTTTGTGTTAGTGTCTGAGCTGCTTTATTTTTCATGTCTCAGTTACCACTTTCTTTTTTCTTTTTTTTTATTTAAAGAGAAAAAAGAAAGGAAATAAAAAACAAAGCAGTAAAAGGGTACAAGTAGTACAGAATTTCAAAAAAAAAATACAGGAAGAAATCACTAGTTGGTAGGTTACATATTGTCATCTTAGAAACAGTTGTCCAAATTATAAAATTAAAGCATATAAAGTGGACATTCATACAGTGAGATTGCAGACAGTTCTGTTCAATGATCCTACAAAAGCTCAGTAATATCGTTTTCTATCCTACACACTTAAATATACATGCAGTTATATCTTTTAGTCAGTCACCACTTTCATGTAGAATTCAGCCAGTATATATTGGCCAGAATGCTTATCAAAATGAGAAATAGAATACATCATCTGTTATGCATATGGCCAGTTGCAGCTCTAGATGTTCTTGAGGGGAAGGATGGAAAGAGGATGGGACAATAAAGAAAAGAGTTAAAGCTGAGGTGAGGTGGAGCCCTTTCTTCTGACAGGAGGAAGGGAACTGCTTAACCACCATAAGGGTGTTCATGTATACATTTGACAGGTTGATGTCATGTGACACCACTTTTGCCTAGCAACTGATTGTTTGGATTATCTCAGGGATAGGTGTTCTCTGGACTGAAGAAGCTTGCCTCAAGCACTGCTTTTTTATTTTGGGACTTGCCTTGCCCTTACACGTGTGAGCAATTTCTAGCTTCAACAGCTCACTAAATGGGGTGAATCATGAGTTGTCAAAATTATGTGTTGAAGTCCTAGCAACAAGTACTTCACACTGAAACTTTGTTTAGAAATAAGATCTATGTAGAAGTAATCAAGTTTAAATGAGGTAATTGGATTGGGCTCTAATATGACTGGTAACTTTATTAAGACACAAAAGACAGATACAGCCATACTTTGGTACTCCACTGCTTTGAAACTTGTAAAATTTTCTACTGGGTGCATTTTGACATGAACATTTTGTTCTGGTACTCATTTATTTGAGCATAAACTACAAGTTGGTGTTGATTGCCTCATGACTCTACCCTTTCCAGCTAAAACAATTTGTCACTCGTTTTTGATACTTGTCACCTTTTCAGGACTAATTAACAATGAGTACTGAAGTACCACTGTATATACAGAAGATAAGGATGATGTGAAGACTTCCATGCAATAACATACAGGATTGGAATGATACATATACAAGCCTAAAAATGCCTTAGCTCTTAGAAGCTTGGAAAGAGATATAGAACACACTTTCCTGGAATCTTCTGAGGGAGCACAGCCTGTTAGCACTTGGATTTTGAGCATCTGGCTTCCAGAACTGTGAATTAAGCCACCTGGCTTATGATATTTTGTTACAGCAACCACAGGCAATTAATATTCTACTCTCTCTGTGTTATATTTAAACAGGAGGTATCTGTAAAGGTTGATACACTGTGTCAAATTCACAAGTTTAGAAGTTTAACTAAGTGACTCAGCAGGGGGTCAAGGTCCTCACTTTGTAAGCAACCTCACACTGTGCAAGAAAAGGGCAAGGAGACCTGGCTGAGAAGGGGAGTTAGCCTGCTTACAGTATAAGGGAGGAGAAAAGACTTGCTCTCCCACTTTTTGTTTCTGTTGCTTTTGTTATCTTCTACTGTCTTGAACAGTTATCCTTCTGCCATGCCACCCTACTGTGGAGCCAGCTGATTATGGACTGAAACCTCTAAAAACTGTGAACTAATAAAGCTTTTCTTCCTTAATTTTGGGAATTGGGTATTTTGTCTCAGTAATGAGAGAAAAGCAACTAACGCAAAATTTGGTACTAGGAGTGAGGTCGTTGTTGTGACTATCTGACAATGTGATTCAAGAGCCTTTGGGAATAGTTTATGGGAAGAGTTTGGAAAGGTTCAGAGATGATACCCAAAAGAGTAGAGCTGGAGTGCCTTAGGCTGTTCAGTACTGGAGATTTTATCAGAGCTCAAAAGACCAGCAAACTGGTAAAGATGAGTCCCAGGAGGTTTCTGGTGGGAAGAAAGTCTGCAGTGGCTGCACTGATGTATATTATGCCTTGGCAGAAAGTTTGTCTGCATTTTGTTTGTGTTCAGAGATTTTGCTTGAGACTGATGTGAAGGCCAGCAGACTAATTAATCTGGCAGAAGAAATTTCAATCTAATGTTGAAGCAGTGCCATGGATATTGTTGAGGGGTTTTAGCCAGATTTATGTTGCAAATCTAGAGCAAAGAGCTCAGCAGAATGATTTAAAATGTGAGTTTGACCAGAAAGGAAGCTCCAGTAAAGCTATGGACTGCAAATATAGAGCAGAAGAGATCTTGACTGCTGAGAAGGAAACAGAGAGTATAAAAGATGGCATGAATATAAAATATGACATCACAGGAAGCAGCAAGTAGCCACCCTTTGCAGCCCTCAGAACTACAAAAGTGAAAGACTGTTTTGAGGAAAAAGCCACAGAGCACCATGACGGTGGCATAGAGAATTTGTTCCTCAAAATTGGATTCAGAGTGCCTTGTGACTCAGGCTCTTGAATCCTGCAGCCAAAAGAGAGGAAAGCCTGGCTACTGCTCCAGCTGTCAGCAGACCTTGGCGTCATTCATGTGGCATTGGTTTTATGTGCATACAGAATGCAATGTTTAGGGGTTATAGTTGCTTCCACTTCAATTTCAGAAGGCCTAAGAGGCCAGGCAGTATGCCCCTGAGAGGACAATCTGTGATCTGTGAGTGTAAAGCCAGAGGTGCTATGGAGATGCCAAAAGTTTAGAAAAGCCAAGCACATGGATCATCTAAGGACAGCTGCAAGGAAAGAGTAAAGCAGGCCTAATAGAGAAGCCATGGGAGCTGTAATCCTCAGAAGTGCCATAGGGGCGAACCGCTCAAGTCCTTTGGAGCTCACAATTTGCCACAGATTGCTTCAGATGCTGGATATGGAACTATAGGACTTATTATTTGCCCTGCTGAAATTTGGACTTGCTTTGGCCCTAATCCTTGGTATCCCCCTATTTGTAACTTTTGGATTGAAAATGTTTATCTTTTGCCATTGAATGTTGAAGTGTTCAGTTTCTCATTTGTACAAGAGGTTACAGCTAAGAGTTTGCCTTACATTTCAGAGAAGAGTTGGGATTTAGACTTCTCAGCAGTGATGAAACTGTTAGTACTTTAGCAACTCTTAGAGATGGACTAAATACCTTTTGCATAAAGGGATGTACATAGGTTTTTGGAGGACCAAGGGCAAAATGTTATCATTGTAATGTAATACAATTTTGATAGACTTAAAACTGGTTCTTAAGGATTGTTAAACTGGTGTTATAATGTTCAAGTTGTAAAATGATTAAGAATAAGCATATCTTTGTATCTGGAGACAAGTTTAAAGAAATGTATCTGGCTGCTAGGTTGACAAGGGATGGATTATAATGGTTGATACAATGTTGATACAATTGAGAAGTTTAGAAGTTCAACTAAGCAAATCATCAGGGAGCCAAGGTCTTCACTTTGTAAACATCCTCATCCTGTTCAGGAAGAGAGCAAGGAGATAGTGTGAGTGTTACAGTCGCCCTGAGGGGAGAGGACAGGAGACTGCTTACACCATAAGGGAGAAAAAGAGGCTTGCTCTCCCCATCTTTGTTCTACTGCTTTTGCTGTGTTCTGCTGCCTTGAACAGTTGCCCCTCTGCCGTGCCACCCTAATTTGAAAACTGCGAATTAAATAAACCCCTTTTTCCTTAATTTTGGGCATTGAGTATTTTGTTTCGGCACAGTATCTGATACTAGAATATTATGGTCCTAAAAATACAACTTTTTTTTTTTTTTTTTTTTTTTTTGGTACCGGGGATTGAACGTACAACCTTGCGCTTGCCAGGCAGGCACTTACGCTGCTGAGCTAAATCCCCAACCCTAAAATACAACTTTTTTCAATTCATATGTTCGTGTAGTCACTTTCTCCCAGGATGTACAAGTGTTTTCAAAGTGGCTGGAATAGGGTACTTCCTGGTGATGAGAAGAATTCTGAGATGTCTTCAAAGCCAGAAAATGCACATGGGATAGAGATAAGAGATATTAATTCACAGCTTTGAACTACATTTAAAAAAAATGGAAAACAACATCTGCTGCATACTACTTCCAGTATGCTGAATATTATGCATTCAAGCCATATCACATTCTGTATTTAGAACTAACCAATCAAGAAGAAATTTTTTCTTTGTGGACTAAACTCCTAACTCAGCACCTTGCACTCTGGATTGTCCTGCGCTTGATACTATAGCCGGTGTAGGTTCAGTGTGAATGATTTATATTTCTTCACTCCAGTATTTTGTTATAAAACAGTCTGGCTCCTTAGGTCTGGCACACATTTTTCCACCTGCTATCTGGCCACGTTGCGGGTGGCATAGGGAATTTGTGCTAAGAGCAGTC